CCGATTTCGACGCGAAGGTTTTCCGCCACAACTTGACGAGGAGCAAGAACTACAATCGCAAGGGGTTTGGGCATAAGAAGGAGACTCTCGAGCAGATGAGCCAGGAGTATACGAGTAAGTCTGACTGAATTTCAAGAGAATTCGATTTTTTATTTACTTTTTGAAGTGAGCTTAATCTGCAGTTGATATTTTTGCCTGTGAATCGGAGGTGAATTGTTCGTATTTCAGTAGGATTTCATACTTCGAGGTTTCTGCTTAGTCTTTAAGGATTGACTGATCAGATGTTCTTTGAGCCGCTGCAAGATGTCTGCGTTTATCATCTGGCTTTGATTCGTTGTTTCTGATGTTAAGTTCTGAATTTGATGATATTATCTGATTGTTCTGCAACTACTGTGTTTCAAACTTCTTGATGTTCCCAACGTTTTTATTTTGGCCTTTAAGGATTGACTTGATTGAGTTGTAGCAGCTGCTAGACGTTTGTGTATATCTTCTGGCTTTGATTCATTGTTTCTGATGTTAAGTTCTGGATTTGATGATTATTATCTAATTGTTACGCAATCACTGTGTTTCAAACTTTCTGATGCTCCCAAAATTAGAAATTAGATAAATAATTATGATAAAATTCTTATTAAACCCTGAGCTTGCAGCTCAAGTAGTAGATCTCACCCTTTATAAGGGTGTTGCACTGTTGATATAGGTGGGATCCATGTATCTCGCATTTTACTAGGTATACTCCCGGCCATGCCAGTCCCCCTTTAACTATTTAACGAAATAATAATACTCCAAATCAGCCCGTAAGTTAAGAAACAATATAGTTCAATTATTGAAGCTGTTAAATTACGTTTCCACCGAAGAGTAAGTCCTTTAACTTTTGACACTCTATATGTGTGTGTTTGCACGGATTAAATTTGTCTTAGTCCTTACATTAGTCAACATAATCCTATGAGTCTTTCAAAAAGAGCATTGTTTGTGAAAATATCATTTTACAGTGTGCACATCATATCTCCCTACTTGTTATTCAAGATTCGATATACTTATACATGTGTGAGTGAATATGTGTTTTCATACCTGCCCCTGTTTTTGGAATGTCTCAGGTGACATTATAAAGACATTGAAGGAGAATGGATATGAATACACATGGGGAAATGTCACCGTGAAGCTTGCTGAATCATATGGTTTCTGCTGGGGTGTGGAGCGTGCTGTCCAGATTGCTTACGAAGCAAGAAAACAGTTCCCGACTGAGAAGATCTGGATCACCAATGAAATCATTCACAACCCCACTGTTAATCAGGTAGCTTTTTATTTCATCTACTATTGTCACATATGTATTTCATTTACCTAATATTTGGTGGTTCAATTATGATAAATTTTACTTTCTATAAATAGAGGCTCGAAGAGATGGAAGTGAAAAATATTCCTTTAGACGACGGCAAGAAACAGTTTGATGTTGTTGACAAGGGTGATGTTGTGGTACTGCCTGCTTTTGGAGCTGCTGTGGATGAGATGTTAGTTTTGAGTGAAAAGAATGTTCAAATAGTTGATACCACCTGCCCATGGGTATCTAAGGTACTTTCCCCAGTCCATATGGATTTTAGAAGCCTTTTTTTCCCCTTCTTTTCTTTTATCCATAGGCTAACGGATATTAATTCTCGTTAAAAAGGTTTGGAACACAGTTGAGAAGCACAAGAAGGGAGATTATACTTCGGTAATCCATGGTAAATATTCTCATGAGGAGACTGTGGCTACTGCTTCTTTCGCAGGGAAGTACATTATCGTAAAGAACATGAAAGAGGTATTTATTTATTTATTTATTGTTTCTTTTTTCGGAGTCTAATTGTGCTATTGAGATTGTATTAGTCTGAAATTTTTAGTCTGATATTGCAGGCAACATATGTATGTGATTACATTTTGGGTGGTGGGCTTGATGGATCCAGCTCGACCAGAGAGGCCTTTTTGGAGGTAGGGTTAGAGTTTTCCTGCTTGAAGGTTTAATTACAAAATTTATCCTTGATTTAGGCCCCCTCTAGCATTTCTTTCAGTTTATTCTCTCAATAGAGGATCTGCTAGGCAAATGCCAGTCTCAAGTGGGTGTTGTAAATTGTAATCATCTGTGCCTTTAGTATCTCTTGGTGCTGGGGCTTAATGTGACACGATCATTTTTTTCAGAAATTCAAATATGCAGTATCTGATGGATTTGATCCAGACAAAGATCTTGTCAAAGTTGGTATTGCAAATCAAACTACTATGTTGAAAGGGGAAACTGAGGAAATTGGTCAGTGGATATAACTCACAACATTTTTCTGTTCATATTTACAATACTCGACTCGTCTAACAAATGACTATTCTGCAGGAAAATTACTTGAACGGACCGTGATGCAAAAGTTTGGAGTTGAAAATATTAACAATCACTTCATAAGTTTCAATACTATTTGTGATGCTACTCAAGTAAAGTCTTCCTCCCAGCCATGTTCATTTTCTTAAACTGTGCTGCCTTATTTATTTTAATATTCTATAGTAAAAAAAAAAAAAAGTAAAAAGACCAAATTCTTTACACCCATAACATTTGTTTCTCTTTTACAAATTGCTCTACACAAGAGAAGGTATTGTTTACACCCATAACTGTTGGTTCTCTTTTATTTAGGAACGGCAAGATGCTATGTATAAACTGGTCGAGGAAAAACTAGATCTCATGCTTGTTGTTGGTGGTTGGAACTCGAGCAATACTTCACATTTGCAAGAAATTGCTGAGGATCGTGGGATTCCTTCATATTGGATTGACAGCGAGAAAAGGATAGGCCCCGGAAATAAAATTTCTTACAAGTTGATGGTATGCCTTTGCAATCATGCTTGTATGCTATGATTTTTGTCTCAGTTATGCAGTTACACCTCACATATTTAGTTATTTACTCTGTCTAAATATTTCATACACAGCATGGTGAGTTGGTGGAGAAGGAGAACTGGCTACCGGAGGGTCCCGTCAGAATCGGGATTACATCTGGTGCATCTACACCTGATAAGGTGATTCTGTGATTCTGCAATATTTTGTTCTCGTTTTTTAACTTTGCTTCAACTTCTAATAGTAAATCTTAGATTGGTATGATTGCAAAAATGCAAAATACCACCTTTGATGTTCAGCCTAACTCTATAGTAAACTAAAACAATCACTCAGAATTAGGAAAAATTGGAGATTTAGTCCTGTAACTTACACCAAATTGAGAAATAATCCGGTGGTTGCATTGATTTTACAAAACACCTTGTAACTGCAAATAAAAAAAATAAAAAAATAAAAAAATAAAAACTGATTTTTGGTCATTCCACCGGCAACAGCCGCTCAATTTGACTGGCTACTGAGTTGGATATGTTAGTCAGCTGCCATGTATACGAAAAAAAAATGAAAAAATAATATCTACATCAGCATCTGGAGCATCCGGTCGCAGGGACCGGCTTTTACCTGTGGGAGCACCAAAAGTCTACTTTTTTTTTTTTTTTGCAGTTACATAATGCTTTGTAAAGTCAACATAATCACGGACTAAGTGTCAGTTACAAAGACTAAATCTCCAAATTTTCCCTCAAGACTACAAGTGCTAGCTATCGAACAATCATTTGTGAGAAAAACTAGATATTCCGGATTTATGCAAATGCCATTTGCTTGCACGTCGAAACCCAGATTCCACATTGCAATTAAGTAATATAATCTTGCACCCAAATTGACGCATTCAGAATATACGTGGTGGCTAATTAAATCTTTATTTTATTTGTTGTAAATACACAATGTCCAGGTTGTTGAAGATGTTCTTGCAAGAGTCTTCGACATAAAGCGTGAAGAATTACTGCAAGTGGCATAAAACTGCATTTTTGCATTGTAAGCTGTGTCCTAATATCGGAAACTTGCTTTCGGTTACCTCTAATCTTATATGATACAATCCCACGCTTAGTTGTTCTGGTTTGTCGAAGGAAGGGATATTGTTGTATTGCTCTGTGTAACAAAAGTGAATCTTTGCTTATAGTATTTACAATTACAAATGTCATGTAATAAATAGTAAGGTACTTGTAAAATTCGTCAGCAAAGTACCTGGTAAAGGGAGATTAGACTCCCTGTTAAGCTTATACGAAAAACCTGTTTTGAACAATCACGTTGGTTAAGAAGTGCTCATTAGCCATGTCATGATATTTTGACCTTTGTGTATTATTCGAAACTAGTAATCACCCGTGCGATGCACGGAAAAATTATTATCTATGTGCTTTTCAGAAGGTAAAATTGTATATAAATTGTGTAATAACAAAATGATCATGATCATAAGAATAAACATATAAACATATATAGTAAACTGAATGTTGAACACTTCCCTATATACAACATTGTTGGTTTGATTCTTTGGCACGTCATCTTCGCCACAAATTAAGATTTTCTAACCCTTTTCGGTTAGTGACACGGGAGACAGCAACATATAATTGGTCATGACTGAAAACTGGTTTCTTAAAAATAAGTCAGCATAAGATAAGGGTTGTCCCTAACTCTTGTTTATAGTCACGACGTAAGTCTCCATAATGAGAAACTATCGCCGTGAGTGGATAGTTTTGTCACAACCAATCGTGTCCCATTACACAAACCCATAGAATGATTCATGTTTCGCAACAACATGACTGGAGTTACAATCTTCAAATACAATTCATGGTTCGGTATTCCGGAACACTTGATACTATTCAAAAACTCAGGCGTATGGAGATCAGACAAAAATCATCATTAGAATCTGATTTGCACGTACTATCAGAGCTCAAGTACATACGACCATTCAACAAATTCAATAATGTCATGTACTCATTGATAGACTCGACCACATCCAACATCGGCGCTAATATAGCCTTATCTTTCAAATAACTTGGATCGTCAGGTGCCTCCTTGTACATTGGATATATGCTTTCAACGATTTGAGCAATAGGATCATCATATGGCTGAAGCAAAATGTTTTAGGGTATGTTCTCAATTGAACTGGATTTATCTCGACCACCATCCCAATGAGATCTAAACATGTGTCAAATATGAGTAAAATTATTATTTATCATGAAAATGATAAAAAAATAATTTAAATAAGTAAAAATGTAATTACCAAATAACATTGATTCGTCGATCTTCTCGATATCAGTTAGTGTGATGAACCTTCGAAAGTCGAAACGGTAAATTGGAAAGTCACCCTTGTAGCTTATGTGTTCAGTTCTACCATGTAAGATAAGCCTGTATTGTGCAATGGGGGGTCTGTACATTCCAATGTTACTCTCGACCTGATAGTTTCGAAATGCATAGACAGCCCCTTTTTGGAATTCATTGATGCAAGTTGGGATGTTTACTGCTCTTATTATTCCTGTAATTCGACCGCCCTGCCAAAAAAAAAACAAAAAGATAATATTAGAAATTATTATGTAATATCAGAAGAAAGAAATAATCATTAATTTGATTGTGAATTATACCTCAATGTCATGAAAGACAATTTCATGGATGTTCTTG